CGATCCGCCCACTACTGTCTGGCTTCGAACTTCCTGGCTTCCCCAATAGCCGGTAGCAGTTTTCGCCGTAATAAAAACCATAAGAATCTGCTATCTGGGCCAGCGGTGAACAGCATGGTTTTCATCTCACAAGTCGAGCCGCAATCTCTGCACAATTCATATACACAACACAACCAGACATCAAGCAATGGAATTATTCTCAGATTATGTTTTATTAGAATAATTAAGGTGAACGACATATATATGGCTTCAACTAAGACAAAGCTTATATCTTATATCTCCGCACTGGCTCCTGACTCAATCATACCTTTGAGATAACTGAGCTCAGTCATCATTTCCCGCATGGCGGCGGATTGTCCCAATAGGGACGCTCTGCTCAGTCGGTTATCGACCGGATCTGATACAGCACGCCTTTCCTCCTGCAAGAGCTCTATCTCATCCTTGAGATGCTCTGGAAAGCCCAATACAGTAGGATCGGGGCTGTGTAGAAGGCCAAGGCCTTGAATAGACTCAACTCCTCCGAAGAACGCTGCATGCCGCTTAGGATTACTCTCCACGCAATCCTCCTCTTCGTTGATGCACAGGTCAGACAAACTGAGATCGGACGGCGATAGTGAGATAGAAAGACGGGGGAGTGGAAGATCCAGAAGAGGCGAATCGCCTGCAACGGAAGTAGCTGTAGACTTGGAATTCACCGTGAGGTGAGGTGTATCCGGGTCACTCATCTCTCCTGCGACTGATGTCTTTAGGTAATCGGCGTACCCTGAAACGTAGGTGTCGGGAAGAGGTGGTACGTCTTGGTTGAATGGGGCTGAGCATGTCATAGACTCCGGAGAAAGAAGTTCCGTATCGGTACTCCATTCAGAGAAATGGCTTCGTTCACACACCGAGCTACCTGCCACAGAATCCGTATCAGTGAAGTCGGAGAAATGGCTAACCAAAGCCTCCGTATCAAAAGCCTTTCCTCGAGCATCAATCTCGCGCAACGCCTCATCCATGACCGAGGATGGAGAGTTCGGCAGTGTCGGCAGCCGCTTTTCCCTGGTAACCGAGGGCCTTGGCGTCATGGCCAGATCCTCAGCTGTCGTAAATCCGATGGACGTCGCTAGCAAAGCAGAAGATTCCCAGAGTGATCTTTCGACCGCATTCGTTTGTTTCAAATCGCGTGCTTTTGCGCGTGGTGTTGCTTGTTCAGCAACGAATGGCTGCTCTGCGGGATTTTGCGACTTTTCATGGATACTCGAGGGCACTGACTGGCGATGACCAGTAGCGGCCGGGGTCAAGTGATGGCCTGTGTAGACTCTTTGATTATAAGACTGGTCGTAGCCGGTGGAAGGCGGGCGATTGATGACAATGTTCGGATGAATACTGGTATCGAAACGGCCAGTAGGTATATGAGGATTTGAATCCAACGGCCCCCGATCTGGACTAGGTCTGGTAATCTCTGGTCCATGATGGTCTCCAAGATCAGGAGACGAAACGTTCCACTGTCGAAATGCGGCGAGGAGTCCTCTCGATCTTGGAGGGGATACAGACCGAGCGGTCTTGAACACTGGGCCCCTGGGTCCTTCGTTGACCCTAACCTTCGGGGTTGCACTACTGGGCTGCGAAGCGCTCCTGTTGGTGATGATTCCCAACGGAGAAGTGCTGAAGGACCAGGCTGGCGCTGGCTGCTCCAACAATGGAGGAGACGTTCGGAGGCGCGGAAGCGTTGGTCTAGGCTTGGGCGGTCGTCGAGGGTTGAGGTACTTATCATCCGGGTTCATAGTTTGAGGAACCACGCTTTGCGCACTTGGGTTTCTTGGGTGGGTATGTGCAGGGACGGCATCTGGAAGAATAACAGGCACATTGAGAACGTTGACCGGCTGGCCTGGAAGAAATGGACAATGGGTGGTAATGGGTTCTGCCTCATTGTAGTACTCCACATCATTGTCCAGCAAATACTGTGGGTCTGTTAGTATTCAATTCCCTGAATCAAGGAGATGCGGGAGTACAAACATAATACCAGTAGGTACCTCCCATCTTCAGTCCACCAGAACGTGCTGGAATCATGTGGGCCGGCGAACCATCGCACACGATGTTGGCGAAGGTATGACACCCCTTCCACTGACCCGGACCAACACGTCTGTCTCGCTCCATGAGGTAGGGCTTGGAGAAATTGTCCCATGAGCCTAACAGTTTGACTGACTTGACCTGTGGATTGGTACAGCTGCGCGTCGCTATTAGCAAGTGAGCGGGGATTCGCAATTCAGAGAACGCAACTTACAGAAGGAATGTCATTAAAGTTGTCGAAGTCATGATTGCGATTGGTGTATATATAAGGGTCTGACGAACGACACAATGAAGGAATGCGCTTTTGAATACTAGTCTGAACTTCTGTGTCGGCTGGACTGGACACGATGTGCTAAGCAAATTTGTCGATTGAAAGGAATGCAATGGATGTTATTCCAAGACCAGCTTGGAAAAGAGCAAGTGAAAGCAGAGACAAGGCAAATGAAGGATGTTTGGCAGAAAGCCTAGTCAGGCTGTGTCCTGGTGTGGAATGTGAGGAGGAATAAATCCCACCGGCGATGTCCTGCCACGCAGTTCCCTAGTGTGATATAAGAGTTGGAAGCTGACAGCTGCGGCTTGAAAGTGGCTACTGTGCCACAACAACACAGAGAAAGCTGAACATCAACAATGTGCGAGATAAAGGGTAGATCAGTGATTCATTAGCCGCGGGGCTGCGGGAGTCAAATTTGGACGTTCCTGACCGAGAGATTGGAAGGGTATACCAGGCCAATGACGCTGGAGAACTGGTAGGCCGGAAGCGCCGACAGGGCGGACTACCTGGACGAGGAAGAACAATGACAGGCGGAAAAGGGTATTTTCAGCGCCTGCTGCAGGAGCCGGACGTTTCGAGCAGTGCTTCTCACACAGATTTTTCAGACGTTGGTCCAGGCAGGTTGATGAGGGTGAGAAAGCCGAAGTGAAGCTCAAGAATAAACCACCATCAACTCGATCGCGCAGATGTGTACACTCCGAGCGTGACCTGAACGTCAACGCTTATTATAGGTGGTGTACTCCGTACTCCGGAACAGAGAGAAAATCAAGTTTCGGCAGCTCAGTAGCCCTGTAGCAAGACGGTGCGCTTGTCAGGGATCCACTGGAGGATGATATAAACACGTCACGATAGTGATCGTCCCTACAAGAGAACTCTGTCGCGAGAGAGGAGAGTTCATGATGGCAGCCGGCCGACAGAAAAAGGGCGCGCGATGAGATCCGAACATGGTTCCTGAGCGATTGGCGGTCCACCCAGGAGAGTTTTTCTGGGATGAGGATGCTGATCCTTCCTGGCGAACCAGAGTGGGCTTCAAAGGGACTCGAGTCCTGAACGGGTGGACACAACTGGATCACGGGCGTTTAGCTAGGCTGGATGCATGTTAGCTGTGCCTGGTATCGGTACCTTAGCAGGCTTAGCTTAACAGCCTAGTTCCTAGTTTGCAAGGGTGGAGACGTGGGGACCGATGTAAGTCCGAGGAAGGGAAATTGATGAATCAGAAAACAAAAGAAAAGGGACAGTGTACGGAGTACGGTAGCCAGCCACTGCACGAAGATGATAGATAGCAGTGGTACGGAGTAGTTGACTGGGAGTAAAATGATGATTGGAGACTGAAGCGGCTGGGTGCGATCCAGCAGTCGCGGGTGGAAATTAATCTAACCAAACAAGGAGATCACTACCTTAGGATTGGTGGTGGCTGGACACAAGCCACTCTGAGGCTGACCTTTTCTTTCCAAATTCCCGTAAGTTATCTTCATCTTCTCGCCTCAACTACCGATCTGTTAAACAATAAATAAGCTTTGTCAATGTCACTCCCAGATTGTCCTCTTGTCCCCCTTCTCACCGAGAGATCAATCGCGGGATGGGAGATTTTTAGCGAAGCGACCACTGATCAACCCTCCTCAGGCGGCATATCTGGCGGACCCAGAAAAACCTACGAATACGCGCCGATCGACTTCTCCACACCACGTGAGTGGCCCGCAGGTGGGAAAAGCTGACTACTAGCAGGCTAGCAGCAGAGAGGAAATGTGGACTGGTTGGATATGTCGATTGTTGACTGCTGCGCGCTGCGCCCTCTCATTGTTTATGCATGACTCCTGCATATATCCGACACTCGCGCCATCCCCGGTCGGCTGTCCAGGCACAAAGTGACCTCGCTGGCCTAGAGTTATCTAACCCACGCAGACAGACCTTCGGATTCCGTGTCAGCAGCTGAGAATGGCCTAATCAACGGTTCTCGTGTTTCCTTCCCCTCTGAGCGCTTTTAGAGCTAGGTGAATTTGGGCCGTGTGGCACTAGGACATGGCCGGTGAATCCAACCTCACGCCCGGACCAGCGCACTTGCAAACCATACACCAAGCCAGGGGTCAGCTCCAGTCAGCCAATCAAGAGATCAGTCGGACCATCTTAGTCGCTTAAGTGTGTTGTTGCTGCATGTCTGCAGTCAGTCAGTCTGTTTACTTCGCGGGTGCTGGGCAACTAGACTTCGATCTCTAGGGGGAAACCCGGAGCAACAGATAGATTGAAGTCTCGATTGGCCTGAAATGGTGGTACCTGTCTTTCTCCTCAGCTGTAGCAGGTCGTTCGCCAGTTTCAATCCTCTGCGGTCGCTTTGACTGCCAGCGAATCGAGTTTGGACTTGAACTTACCCTCTTACACCATGCAGTAATGGTTCTTCAAACAGTGGGAGGAGCATTTCAGTTCCAGTTTCGCGGGAGTAGCCGAGCAATCCGTGCAATGACATTGCCAATCATACACATCCTTGAAGTATATCGCAAGCTAGCCTACAGGATACTATAGGTAGGAACTAAAGAAACGACACAAGGGGAGCTACAGGGAAAAAAAGGAAGCATAGACACTATTATGATTTAGTATTGTCGTAGCATTTGACCAGTCACAGCATCCCGCCAGAATTCAAGGAACTCAACCCCCCCCCCCCGACACGGACGGCGGCAACTGGGCGCTTGCTGCGACGCGTTTCATCTATGGCGCCCATTCTCATTATAACATGATTAAGGACTGAACCCAAGCCGAAAAGTCACCACTGATCAACATTTGCATTAGAGCAAAAGAAGTGAAACAAGCAAAGAGAGAAGAGGGGACAGAAGGCAACGGAGTGTCGCAGCAGTTGGAGAGAAGGCAGTGGCAAGTGGATATGAATAGCAACAACAATAACAACAATGATCAACCTGAAGCAATCGCAATCAACGATGCCCGTCCCGCTTATCATACTTCCGATTCACTGCGCCCAGCACGCACTTCAGAATGCCATCTGCACTCAGGGTCTGCCCCTTGTCGCCTCGCCACGGCACGGTGTCGACAATATCGCGCAAGTTCTTCTGATGTGTCATCTTGCCCAACTCATCGTCCAGGTCCTGCAGATACTGCCGCGCCACGGGATCATCGCCGATTTGGAAAAACTGGAACCCAACCTGCCAGGGCACGGCCAAGATCTTGTCGAGTCGTTGGGCCACATTAACGATCACACTTTCAGCGTCATCCGTGAACGCTCCATCGGTGATCGCAATGATGTTTAAGGGTTTAAGCAGCTGCGTGGAGTCCTCGAACCCATCGCTTGCGGCGACCTTTTTCTCCAGGTCGCGCATGTAGGGGCCCAGGATATCCAACAAGCGGCGGCCGAACGGCGTCGGACCCTGGGGAGACACGCTGCCAAAGATCTCCCGGACGTTGTCCGCCAGCGTGATGTTCGTGTATGACCCCGGCCCCCTTCGACCAGTATCTCTGCGGTGATTGAGGAACCATACGTCGATTCCATCCTTGTCATACTGCGTGCAGATCGGAGCGATCGCGGCGATAGCATCTTCGGCCTCCTTCCAGCGCCGCCCGCGCATGGATGTGCTATCATGAACCAGAAATATGGTGTCAAACTCGCGTAGGAATGAATACGGCGAGTCGCCTGATGAGGTGCTCGAGGCTGCTGATGGCATAAACATCTTCGCTGTAGGTTCAGCGGAGTACGGTGGGGGCGACCATGGGTCCTGATGGATCGTTGGAGTTGGCTTTCCTATGCTTCTCGATTGGGACGCTATGCTCCGATTGACCGAACCTGTTCCTGAGCGTCTCTTCTCATGCGAGTGAGTTTGTCCCATGTTGGTGCTATTGTTGTAGGCTTGTTCACTCGAGGTCTGGTGACGATGAGTTGAGTCTCGACGGGTAAGCTTATCTCGAAGGTGTTGTAAAAGTGGCATCTGGCAGGGGTAAAGGTAAAGATGTTTATAGTCGGTCAGCTCGATGATTCAACCTCGAGTCGAGTAGGCGGGGATCTCCGGGGAAAAAAGACGTAGCTTCCTTGGGGGCAGAGGTCGTTGCTTGTATGGAGCTTGGAAGGCAACGAAACAGAGTGAGGGCCGGGTGTCAAAGTAAACCAGTGAACGTAGTCATGATTTCCTCCCTTTCCTTTTTATCGTTCACCAAACTGTCTGAAAGACATGGAAGGCGCAGTCAAGGCAGACTGGTTCAACCCACACACTCGAGTATCATTCCAGTCAGTATGACCCCAGGCTATATAGCACAAACACATTTCACTTTTGCAAAGTATATGACTATGACTCTTTCGTGATTTGACCCCAGGGAAACAGATCCATGTGCAGTGTTGAAAGGTATGCAATTCCAACCAATTAGTTCCAAGAACACAAAGAACCAAGCCTAAGGCTTCCAGGCGGGAATGACTTCGCCCCCTTTCCATCCACCCGTGACTTCCAAGTTCCATCTCCTTACCGGAGTTTCAACATGGATCCTGCCGCAGTCTGCACAGCGGCACTGCCTCGAAATTTAAAGTTTAAGCATCTTCAAGCGACATGGCTGAATGGCAAATTCCTGTTGGCCACGAGCTCCACAAGGCGCGATAGTGATATCATGCTAAAGCTACAGGGCTGCATTGGCGTGTACTCTACATTGTTGAGCGGTGATAGGGAGGCTGTAAGGCTGATGGATGTTGTTTGCTGTTTGCTGCGATTCCACCATACACTATCAGAAGGCCTATCGGGAGACCGGATGGTGGTGGTGGTAGGCAGTGCACAGCCTACTAGCCGAGGCGGGGGGCCGCAAAACCGCGGTCAATAGTCTAATGGCTTACCCTTGTCGCATATTAGCACTGCCTTATCCCGAACCTTGGTTATGCGACGGGTGACGAAGACCGAGATGGGTCCTTATTTTATGGAGTTATGATTGCATGATGTGTGTTTTCGCTAGCGAATCCATGTCAGTAAGCCAGTCACGTGTGACTAGATTGACGTACATTGATACAAATCGCTATACATTCATCACTACTGACAAATAACTTATTTATGTTCATAAGCATACACTAGGTATCAAATCGTATCGACCTTCAAGGCTGTTGGTAAGAAGATGCACAGACGCTTTATCCCTCAATGGGTCGAGACTAGAAGCGTCTCAGCGGAGTGCTGTCACCTTTTCATGAATACGTTCATCGTCCGTCTGCCCGAGGACATCGAACGTCTCGCCGACTTCCAAGATATCAATCAGGGCCAAAGCCTGGTCGATGCCTAGGCGGTTACCAATAAGCGCTAAACAATCAACCACCCATTTGCGCAGGGAATGGCCCTTCGGCTCAGTAGCGCCAGCAAGAAACAAGGGCCACAGAAGAATCATGCCACGGATGAAGCCATATTCCAATGTCACCGTCCTGAATGTAGTTGCCTCGCCAGTAACGAGGTCAGCGCTAAAATGATAGGGCACACTGGCGCATATGTCGAGAGCCAATTGCCTTGCCTTGTCGCGAACCTGCGCGAGATGACTAGCTAGATCGGGTGTGAGAGTCGTATTGGTGTTCAGTCGATATGTGTAGGTGAGGATGTACTCGCTGATCATGATTCGAGCACAGCGATATTGGTTCCACGCGTGACAGAGCCATAGGTCTTGGTACACGTGAATTCGGTTGTTGTACGAGTTGAGACCCCAATCGGACTGGGTAGGCCAAGGGCTCTCAATGGTGGTGTACAGAAATCGAGGTGGCAAAGCCGCAAGCCATGCCATCAACTCGCCTTCGATGCTATAAACAGTGGACAAGATCTCCTGACAGTCGGTGATGACCTTATCACGTATATCTGCCCGGAGATTGGCCAGCCGGCCACTTATACTGATCAATCGGTCACTATAAGCTTCGGTCTGAGGCCGCAGAAATTGGGCCACCCTTGCGCAGTCAAGGACCGACTGCGGCACTCGAGCCTCTCGTTGCAAGCAGCTGATGATCTTGACAGGCTCGTTAGTCAGGCCTGCGGAGGAAGGGGGGATACTGGAATAGATCAACATACAATCTGATATCGTAATTGTAAGAATAGCTTCAGCCCCTCGGCCTTCTGAAGTTGTTCCACACCTCTCAACTCCAAAAGTGCAGCAGCCCCGGAGATATGATTTGTCCAGTTGTCGAGATTCTGTGGGGCTCTACTAGAGACAACCTGTTCTGCAATCAGACGCTGTGAGTGCGAAAGGGGAGGGACCTTGGTGTCGAACGCACCTCAAATATCGCTAGAAGTAGAACAGCGGCCAGGGTAGAGTTGTCCCTGGCCTCTTTCTCATCGGTGACAGCAGAAGTAAGCAGTTGCAACGCCTGTCCGTACTCTTTCTCTGAGGTAATCCTTAGGGGAGTGGATCGCCTGGCGCGAGCGAGCATGGCCATTCCTGCAGAAGTCATACTAGCTATCATAGCTTGCTGACTGGGTGAGGTCCGTAGATCGAGGATGAATTCCGTGGCAGAGTCTGGTCTCATCCAGACGCTTCCGATCCAATTATTCTGGCTCAGAAAGAAGCAGATGGCTTCGTTCTTGGTAGGTTGATACGAAGGCTGTAGATCGAGGGGGGGCCAGGTGACAAGCTCTCGTTGAAGGCCTGTGTCCTCACTGAAGTCCACTATGTTACTGGATCCCGATGCGGCGCTGGGGCTATTACTAGTAGTGCTACTGCTACCCCCAGAGGGAGTCTCAGACCGGCCACTAGAACCGGATTTGCTGGCTGGTTTAGTCTTGCGCGCTGTGGTCCCGGTCCGTGCCTTCCGAACAACCTGTTGGCTCTCGTCGCGGAACATCAAGGACAGTTCGTCTCGGTATCCGGAGCAGACCCGGTTGCCCTTGGCGCACTGGGAGCAGGTTGGCCGCGCCTGGTCGCACCGGATCTTGCGAGAGCGGCACTCCCCGCAGCCTTTGCTTGGCTTGCCGCAGAAGACCATATTAAACCAGGCGCAGTGTGCAGAAGTGGCTGGTCGATCGTGCTATGCTGGGGGCAACAAGCGATAGATAGATGGACCCAGTCGGATAAGGAGAGCCAAGCCCAGAATGGAGGCAACTCGAACGGGTAAGCAATGCGAAGAACGGCTTGAGCACCGCGACTTTCCAACGTTTAATCTCAGAACAAAGCTTCGAAAGGATAGCTATAATACGATTAGTTCATTTAAAAGCAGGTGCATGTCGTACCGGAGATCTTTCTCGTCCAACCTGGCTGATATTGGTTGAGAGGGACACGGCCGTGGAGATAAAGAGGTGTATGTAGTGGGTTGGCGGGTGCCTCAGGCGTGGACAGTTTCCCGATTCCACGTGGGATCCGGCTAACCTGATCGAGTATGCTTTGCGAGATGCAGTGCCAGGTGCCCGGAGGTGCCCTGGTGAGTGCGCATCGCAGTGGCACATGCTTGTGAAAGTCTTTCAAGACAGTCAGTTGTTGCCAAGTTTATACCTCTGTTGTCTTCTGTTATCTTCTAGACGCTTGCTCAGCAGTATCTCTCACGCGCTCGCTAATCTCTTCAGTTTTTCGATACCCATACTGAGGCTATACTAACCTCGTTCAGTATACGTCGCTCTCATGATCTTCCGAGGTCAACATCGGCCATATGCTATTCAATCAATCGTTGACTCTACCCTCTATGAAAAAAAGCCACTTAGGTATTCAATTTGCAAAAAAAGCCACTGCTTAGCAGTTGATGTGATGGCTATGGCACGGAGTTACTCAGCGTCTGCCCTATAGTTCTATGAAATGACCAGGCATTCTTCTATCTACCAAGAACGGAATGATGGCTGTTACCACGCAAGAAAGCCGTAGAACACAAGCAGAGAATAACTTCCTAGCTATGCACCAAGGCTAGTACCACAGCCCGCTGTCAATACCATGGGAAAGGTAAGGTTCATTGTGTATTCGTGTTCGCTGAGAGCAATTCTACCCATGACCGGCAACCGCCTTCATCTGTCGAATTTCCCGCAACACCGTGCTGACACCTCCGGTCTATCTGCGACTGAAGAAATTCGCGATGGATCCCTCCTCTCATATAATGAAAGGGTATTTGAAAACACTAGGAGTATGATTGCGATATTCCTGGTTCGACTTCAGGGCATGGTTGTTGTTGCCTTGAAGGTGAGGAGGGTAAATGGGAGTATGAGACGGCTGAGGCACGAACATGTGGCTGCTTCTCATGCGGCTGGGTATAAATTCGGGTGCTTCGGGGCGAAGAGTAGAGTAGTAGAATGTCGTGCGCCTCTTGTTTTCACCGTCCGCTTTTCCGTGACCCTGTATATGGCCCGGGGCACCTCCATACGGGCCTGGGAGCTGTAGTGACTCTGGGCGTTGTGGTAGGCTTTGGTATGGTGGTCTCGACATTCCAGGTTGAGAAGTAGCTTCAGTTGAATAGCACTGTGGGTGGTTCTGCACGGGCAATCGAAGTGTATTAGAGGCTAAAGCGAACTGTAGTGGCAGGATATGACGTGGAGCAAGGTAGGACGGCGCATGGACCTAATCATTGACTTGCGTTATCACCGGCAAACCTCAAACAGGAGGTTTTCGGCTCCGCTTACTGTACGTTGTTGACATGACAAGCGGTCTTGCTCCAACAGCTGTCTGTTCATACGATCCGTTTCAATCTGTGGATAGGATCTTTGTGGAGGTGACGGTCGCGTGACATTTGGATGTATTTGACGCGGAGTTTGCGAGATGACTTGCCCGTTTGGAAAATATCCAGACGATACAACTGGTGGAAAGTAACTACCAGGCGCTGCAGCTGGCTGATAGTGCTCAGGCGATACAGCTGGAGGAAGAGTCCTAGGTGATATAGTTGGCGGAAAGGATACACTACCTGGTGTCAAGACACCCGGAAAGAGTGCAGGCAAAGCAGCCGGTGAAAGGCCATGGGTTGATGGAACCAACCTGGGTCCCTCCCAATGATCGGATTGGCGAGAAAAGGAAACCACTGCAGGGTCAAGCTTTGAG